TCAACCATATTTTGATCTTGATTTCGTACAATCTAGAAACTCTGAAAACAGCCCTTCACAGTCTCAAAACCTCGATAAATGAAACTTTTTGCTGGTTGATAAATCACTCATCTTTACGAAAGTCGTGTGCTATGGGAATTTAACCAGTTTTATACCATAAAAAGAAAATTTTTCTCACTTGCGGTAATCTAACAAGTAGTCAAAGCCTAATTTATCCGTACTGAGTACATCGGAGTCCATTCGATGTTGGTGGAAAATCGTATCGAGGCATTACCGTTTCGATTATAGCTCAACTTTTATCAAATGGTAAGACTTTTAGGTTATAACTGAAAAAGAAGATGCTTCAAAAAAAAGATAATTGAAAAAGAAAAGACAAAGGAATTTTCTTCCTAACAAATTTTAGAGAAACTCGAATCCTTGAAATTATTTCTTCTTTTTACCTCATTCCCTGTTGGGTTATATTAGCAACCTCTTCTTCAAGTTAATTCAATTTATCCTTCAAATAGGTGTAGGGTTTGATACTAGGGACAATTGAAGTATTCTTCAGTCGTTTATCTTTTCTCTTCTTCCTCCATAGTCTAAATAATATTAAAGCCTCGTCCAAGAGCAATAGGACTTCCTATGCCTTGACTTTTTATTCAGTTATTGATTTAGCATCCTTCGAGGAAATCTCATACTGACGTAAGCGTTACAAATTTAGACTTTAGAGTTTAAAAAATTATTTGGACTAAAATGCACCAACAATACATACAGAGTTACACGTAATTATACAAATGTTACAAGATCTTTTTTGGTTTATCTTTTGTTTTAGTAGGAGCAAAACTTTACGAGAATATGATGTATTATTCTAATTGTCGTTTCAGATCATATTAATCTTGAAAGTTGGAGTTGTACTAGAGAATAGTACCAAAAATATTTTCCACTAAAAAAAAGAAAAGAACAGTACAAGTTTAATAATGGCTTGGATGGAGCACAAATTTAACTCTCTTAATACGGTGTGAAATTTTAAACATCCACAATTGATTCAAGCTCTAATTATGGGGTTTATGATTGGTTGTGCTCGATGAAGTAAAGCAAAGTCAAACAATCTTTGTTTAGATAAATCACGAATTTTGATGTTGATACAAAATCAAGCTAATTTAATAAATGATACCATTATTAATTGTAACATACGAAATGAATGAGAATAAAAAAAGAGAAGAAAACAAAACTTTTTTGAATGCCCGAAAATCACCCCAAAATCTTGGGAATAGAAAACGCAACTGCAACTGTCTGCTAATCCTTATCCCACTTCTAATATTTAATTCCCACTCTACCTTTGACCACTTAAGTATATTGATAAAATTTTTCACCCAAGGGGATCCAATGATAGAAGGTAAAAAACACAAAACACTACTATAAACTCCGTTTTGCCTCTATCCCTAAATACTAAAATTAAAAGCACAATTATTATCGCATGGTCCTTTTACATTCAAAATATCTATATATTAAAACATCAATTATTATCAAACATTAATTATTATATTAGGTAAATTGGAGGCTTTCCATGATCTCTGTAGTCTGTGCCGAACGTCAACTAAAGAGGTGTAGCTAGGTGGGCAATGGGGACATAGAAGGAGGGTCGGCATATCGGAGACCTTTAAGTCAACTAAACACCATTTTTTTTTTTAATTCAGTAACGCTCAAGGACAAACTTGTGGAAATATAGAACCTGTGATGCCCAGTCCACAGGGTTGGCTAAATTTGCCTTAGACAATGTGAATAAGATTCTTATTGCATAAAGAAACTAAATTCGATTTTAAATACTTGAAAACAAATGTAAATGTCAAATGGTCACTAAATTCTTTAAAATTCTCATTTTATTCACTAGATAATTTTTCATACCAAAAAGTCCACTAGACTCTTGCAAGTGATTTATCTCAACCATTTCCTTAACTCTTGTTAATAAAAATGGATAGAAATTACCTCATGTGAGAGGCGTTCCTATTTTGAATGGACAATTTGGACAATTTTCATGAGACTATCATCCTTTTGAGGCTTTAGTAGCAATTGTTAATCCACTTCTTTCTAGGTATTTTCTCTTCAAAAGCCTCGTCCTCATCCTCTATGAATACGAGTTATATTAGGGTAACTTGGCCCTGTTTTATTGTTTCTGTGTTTTTTTTTTCCTTTTGAGAATTTTTTAAAGGAGACCATTTAATTTTTTTTTGCTTTAGTTTTAGTCTAGCTATTAGGATTTGAGGGTTTTCTTTTGAATCTAATCCAATGTTTTCTGGGTTTTCTTTCAACTAATTGCATTGAAGAATCAAGAAATTTCGGTTCCAATGACCCTAATATTTTTTTTAAATCATTGTAGGCTACAGTGCTGACTACTGTGCAAATATTTTTTTTAAATCGAAGCCTGCTACCGTGCACAGTCAGCACGGTAGCAGGCAGCCAATAAAAAAAAAAGTGCCAGGAGGAAGGAAATGGGGCAGGAACGGTGACAACCGTTCCTGAAGGTTCACGGCCACGATATGGCCTCAAAAATTTGTGCGGCTCAGATTACAGCATGTAACTCGATTTTCACGTCATGTGTGGGGCCCACAAAAAAGTGTTGTAAAATTACGTCGTGTGCAAAGTAAGTTACATCGTGTGCAATGAAAATTACGCGCTGTGGAAAATGAATACAACTGGTACAAACGGTTGCACCTGCAACCGTTTGTGCCCCTTGTCCCAGGAGGAAGCTCAGGAATCTCACATGTTTGTTCGTAGAAGAAGTTGGTATGCATTTATTTTGTCCGTATATATTTTTCTTCCCCCCTCCTCCCTTTTTCTCTCTGAAAAATTCGTGCATTTTGTTTTTTTCTCTTTTGGTTGCTCTTCTTGTTGTTCGTCTCTGATACTTCTGCCATCAGATTCTTGGCATGTCTCACAATTTCCGCTTCAAATTTCGCATTTCTTTTCTTTTTTTCTTTCTTTCTAGCCCATGAAAATGCTTCTCCCAGCACTGGAAGTAGTACCATATTGTTGTAGTGTCGAGTAAAACGCACCATTTTGAGATTGATGCATTTGTTTCTGAATACGAGGTTTCGAATTTCAGTCCCTTGGAGTAATTTTCTTACCATTTCTGTTGTCTTTTCTTCTTCTTTTGTTTTCCCCCTTCCGTTTTGTGCCTTCCTGTAATCGAGATTGTCAATTTCGGCTCTTCTTCTTACTATTTCATGCATTTCAATTTCTTGGGCTGCCGCTTTTTGTTTGTTTAAATGGACTAGTTCATGAAATCAATTGTGTTTTACTCAATGTGGAAGTATGAAATCATGAAAATTTTTGGATTATACAATTTTGAATGGTTAATAATGAGTGATTCTTCTACCGATCCTCCGTCTTTATTGCTTCCTCTTTTCCAAGACTTCTTCTCAATTTAGATTATATCAAAGTGATGATCTTTGTTTTCCTGTTGAATGAATCCGTGTAATTAAAATATATGAGATTTTTCCTTGATGAAAGTGAGAAATTACGAAGAATTGAAATTGGTGTATGAATTCATTTTGGTTATTTGTTTTTGCGTGCAAGTCTCTTTGTGTGCAGTGTGCACGCACACTAGTGTGTGTCAGATCGAATTGGTAATCAATGATACAGTAATACTAAGTTCGAGCTCGAATTCGATTTGACCAACACGACCAGTCCAAGTCTGTGAACTCCAAGGAGATTCAACGCTTTGATGGCTCATTTGATTTATTATGCATTCCTTTCAAGAGTTTGTGTCAGATCTTTTCTAACATTAATTAATATTACGCCTGTCAAATTTTTCTACAACGTATCTGAAAACCATGTGAGATTCCTAAGCTTCCTCCTGGCACTTTTTTTTTTTTTTTTTTTTTACCGGCTGCCTGTTATCGTGCTGACTGTGCATGGTAGCAGACTCCAATTTAAAAAAAAATTTGCAGCACGGTAGCCTGCAACGTAGGCACGATAGCTATAGTTTGGTACCATAGGCTTGTTAGACCTACATTTGACGAACTTTTTTTTTTAGGTATGATCTAAGGAATTAGCCTAGTAGCAAGGGTTAATGAAATGGTCAAGATAAAGCACTTTTAAGAGTTTAACAGGCTATTTGGCACAAAAAAGATAGTTTAGTGGCAAAATGAGAATTTTGAAAAGTTTATTACCCAATTGGATAAACTTGGTTGTGTGATTGGATGATAGATTGTTTGGGATAATTTTTTTATATATAAAAAAAATCATATTACTTTTTTAATATAATATATTGAGATAAAAAGATGGTCAAAAAAGATGTATTGATGAAATAAGCAATAAATTTTTGCAAATAATCTATTATACAAACAATACCTTGGCAAATCCAATGAGGCACGACAATAATTGTCAAAGCGGACTAAGGCTACAAACAAACCGGCTCACAAGCGGCTCGAGTCAAAGCTGGACTCAAGTTGGTCAAATCGAATTCGAGCTCGAACTTGAGATCAAAATATTAAGTTCGTTAGCTCGCGAGTTTGAGTATATATATATATATATATATATATTATTTATTTTTATTTTAATAGTAAATTTTATATATATTCCTAATATTTTATTATTTATTAAGAAAAATAATTAGTTAATTTTTTATTAGAATAATTTCCAGAAATTCGAGCTAACGAGCTGCTCACGAGTCAGAAATTCGAGCTATATTACGAACTGACAATTCGAGCTGCTCACGAGCCAAAAATCGAGTTACAGATCGCGAGCCTTATCAAGTTGAGATCGAGCCTGGCCTTTTTCTTAGTCGAGCTCAATTTTCTTGGCTTGTCGAGTTTGATCTCGAACTCGAGCCTACCTGTTATTAAGTCGAACTCGGTTCGATAAGTTCAAAATTCGACTCGGTTTGCCTCGTTTACAGTCCTAAAGTGGACTAAACTGCAATTGCAACACGTGTTTAGGCAGGTAATCAATCTCTTTCGTTTTTTCTGTTCATATTAGGTACGGCAAATCACCCAAAAAACCAATCAGGTGCTCTGATTATTTGCCAAGACAATGGAGAAGGTGCGTGGGCCCTTCAGTTCTTTCTGCTGCAACCTGTTCTTGCTGTTTGTTCTTGTTTCAGTACGTCCAAACCTTGCAGTGGCTGGTTCCGTGGTTAAGTTTCTTCCAGGATTTGAAGGCCCTCTCCCGTTTGTGCTCGAAACAGGGTGAGTCGCTAAGGATAACATGATATGCAGCTCACTGATACTGAACTAATGTTGATCAAAATTACAAGAAACAGTTGATTCATTCTCTGACATTTCCAGGTATATTGGAGTTGGTGAATCGGAGGATGTGCAACTCTTCTACTACTTTGTCAAGTCAGAGTCAAATCCTCAAATAGATCCCCTTTTGATTTGGTTAACTGGAGGCCCTGGCTGCTCTTCATTTTCGGGGCTCGCTTATGAGATAGGTTGGCTTTTACGCCTCAGCCTTTGCATTTAAGTCCCAATTCCCTTCCCCCCAAGTCCACCTCCTTTGCATTTTGATCTTGATTTTCTATAGTTTTGACGAAGTTTTATGCTAATCTTGTTCGTCTCAAATCTTCGAGTGATAAATAGATGATGAACTGGAGCGGGATTCAACCAAATCACTGATTTGTGATTCTTTGCAGGACCAGTGAAATTCCAGGGAGTACTGTATGATGGGACATTGCCCAAGTTGGTGACAAATCCCTATTCTTGGACCAAGGTACACAATAATTGAGTTTTTTCTTTTCTTTAAATTGTTTTTGTAAGGCAAACAGAGGTTTAAATTGACAGGGTATACCATAGCTACAGAAGTGTTTCATTTGTATAATTTCCAAGATTTAAGAATCTAATTGAGTGCAAGATTCAGAATAATTTGTTATCATTTGTTAGCTTGCAAGCATCATCTTCCTGGATTCGCCGGTGGGAACTGGCTTTTCTTATGCCCGGACTGCTAAAGCTTCTCAGTCTTCAGATTTGCAAGCTTCTGAACACACGTATGAATTTCTTAGGAAGGTACACACATATATCAGTACCCATCTAATTAATGAATCATAAGGCTTTGTGTTCATATATGCTAGCGAATTTGTATGGATGTCACAGACACAATACATCCAAACCTGGTAGTTTTTTAGAAAAATTGATCTTAAAACGAACTAGAAAACTGCTATATTTGTTGACAAACCCTTTTTAGCAAACTGATCATTGGTTTATAGTCTCACTAATTCTTTTCCTTTTGTATCTAGGATTCCGCATAACTCTACCCCAACAAATCTGCCTCCATTATGGGGTGTGCGAAATAGAAAATTTTATATCAGTCGAAACAACTATTAGGTATGTCTAGTAACTGTTTTTGAACCCATAAAAAAATTTTATATGAATATATAAGGGTCTCATTTGATTTAATTTAGCACGTCAAGTGGATTTTTTCTAGTAGATCTAAAAATGAAACAAAGATAGAAGTGAACATGGATGGGTTTTCTTCCTCTTTTCCTCAGCCAAAATTTCCTCCCCAGAGTTTATTTCTTTTTCCATTTTCTGCTGCTTTCTTTGTTTAAAAGGAAATGTAAGTGCCACCATTTTGTTTCTACAGATTTGCGTCCTTAAGAATCAGTTCCAATGGCTTAGTACAGCATAAATATGATTGCAAAGGGAAAACTGGTTGATACTTAATAGTTGTAAAAGACCAAAACAAAAAAAGGAAACAAAAGAAAATGAGAATTTAGATATATGAATATTCAATAAAAAAAAAAATTCAATGCACTTATGATGATGTGGCAAATTGTGGACTGCTTCGCAGCCTACACAAAAAACAAAGCTAGACTGTCAACCATAGCTCATTTATTACTTTTTTAAAAAAAAAAGAAAGAAAGGACCTAGGACTTTCAACATTAAATAGAAAAAAAAATCATAAAAGAGATTATTCCCTTTCATAAAATTGCTTTTAATTGTTGATTGTGTTGCAGTGGCTACATGATAACCCCGAGTACATGTCCAATTCATTCTACATTGGAGGAGACTCCTACGCAGGCATTAATGTTCCAATTGTAGCTCAACTGGTATCAAATGGTATGAAGTTATTCTTTATTTAGGCGAGTTTCCTGCGAATGCTATAATCTGATGGTGGAGATTGCCAACGCCTTTGTAAGCAAATTGTATATTTTACAAATGCCTTCCAAAATCTTGCAACTGAAGCCCCTTTAGCTGGGGGTCTTGCCCGCTTACTCCAAATAGGTAGAGCATTAAGAGGAACAAATACAAAGATTCATTCGAGTTTTGCAGGATTTTTATTCTTTTCTGTGAGTATATTAACTCCAAGATGCTTGGAGAATAAAGAAAGAAACCGTTGATTTGGAATTCTAGGTTATATTAATTCTAAGAGAAAAATATTCCTTCTTCCTTTTCCTCGTTATATTTGATGAACAAGTGCTCATGATCATGGTTCAAGGTCGCGGTCACAGTTGCGGTCGCGGCCTGGACCGTTCCACATCGGTCTTGGCATATCGGTCGCGATCTCGACGAGACGCGAATTTTTGAAATATTTAATATTTTAAAAATTGTAAAATATATGATAAACAAAAATAATTAAAAAATTAGTAAAAATAATAAAAATTTGAATTGACTCGGGATGACTCGGTGAGACTCGACCGTTTCAACTCTTCACGGTGATATCTCGACGAGTCACGTATCTCGGTATCGTTTCGTCGCGATTTAGTCTCAGACTAAACCGAGACGGTGACGACTCGGCCGAGACTGAGTCTTCGAACCATGCTCATGATGGCATTACTCTCTCAAGTTGGACCAAAATGGTTCAGAGCGTTCTGCTACAAGGTAATCCATCGAAGTTGCCATAAACAAAAGTAAAAACTACAAGTTTCATTTCTCCAGGACTACAGGAAAGATTAATTTCCAAGAATTCTTGACCCTAAAATTTCCATAATCTGGTGTCCTTGTAGGAAATGATGCTGGGATTGAGCCGCATATTCATCTCAAGGTCCTGTAACTATCATAATCTTCTCTCTTTGTAGTCTACCTAGCAAGATCATTACATATTTGGACAAACATATCATTTTTAATAAGCACTTTTTAGATTGTTCATATTTATGCTTCACTGATAACATGTCACTTACGCCTGTCAAAATCCATGGCTTCAGGGATACATACTTGGAAACCCAGCACCGACCACTCAAGGCGATGGAAACCATGCAATCCCGTTTGCTCATAGGATGGCGCTAATCTCTGATGAACTCTATGAGGTTGAATATTTTTTAGTTACACGCTGCTGAATGATGATCTTTTAAAACATTGTGTCACTCATATTTTTTTAGTGCACAGTTACCCTTGATTTGCTAACTAACCTATATTATAATTTTACAGTCCTTGAAAGCGACCTGTAAAGGAGAATATGTAAATATAGACCCCAGCAATGCGCCCTGCTTGAAGAATATCCAGGCATACAATAAGGTCAGCAATCTTTTTCTCCTTCGTGTTTCTGTAAACTATTTTCCTACTTTATAAATTAAACCGTCTATGCCTCCTACAAAGGTTGAAAAAAAAAATTAAACAAAGAACGATTAATTTTCTATGTACTGATGATATATACACGATCAGTTTACTGTTAAAATAATTTTGGTAAAATATGTGCTTCTGCAGCTGATTGATAACATCAACATTGAGCATGTGCTGGAGCCCACTTGTCCTGATGTTTCACCAAAGCCAAATAACTTATTCAGTGGCAGGAGATCAACTGTTGAAACGTTCTATAAGAAGTTTGAGGAGCTTGACGTTCTGGAATTTAATGCAGTTGAATGTCGTGTAAGATATTGCTATTATCTTTGCGAAATTGCGTGTAAAGCAATAAATTAAGTGTGTTTGGAAAGGAGATTATTTGAAATAATTTTTTAAAAAATATTATAACATTTTTTGATACGATATATACGAGATAAAAAAAATGATTGAAAAATGTATTTATTATACAAGTAGATAAATTTACGTAAATGATTTTCTATCCATAGACAACATTACGATTAATTCTTGCCCACATGGTTAACGTAGGTGACCGGAGAGGAGCTTCTATACTACTGGGCTAATGACAGGAGTGTCCAAGAGGCCCTCCATGTGCGAAAGGTACATTTACGTAAAAATTGTACATTTTGATATTCCATTTGAAGACAGCTTCTCTAAATTTGGGCACGGACAGGTACAGTTATGATTTGGTGCAAAATATATATATATATATATATATATATATATATATATATACACGATAAAGTAATGTAAGTCTACATCAAAACTTGTAACAAATACAATATCAAAGATATAATTGCACCTAACACAACTGTACCTACCATAATTCTCTAAATATTCTTGTTGTCTTCATGTGATTCTGCATATATTTTGTTTAATTACATGACAGGGGACTATTAATGAGTGGATTAGATGCAACTATAGCATACCATACACAAAAAATGCAGGGAGCGCTGTACCATACCACGCAAACCTCAGCACTAAAGGTTACAGATCTCTCATATACAGGTTTGGTAACAAAATATTCGTATTGTAGAATTTATATCATCACACTCGCGGATTAATGGCGATTATATATGTTGAAAGCACAATATTTGTATTAATTTCAGTGGTGACCATGATATGATCTCACCATATTTGGGAACTGAAGAATGGATAAGATCTCTAAATTACCCAACTATTGATGATTGGAGACAATGGATTCATCAAGGCCAAGTTGCAGGGTTGGTTGAAAATTGAAAATTGAAAATTTTCTCCTAGTTACCTTGAACATGAAGTTAAACAAATTCATTCTCTTTTCTACGTGCAGTTATACAAGGACTTATGCAAATAAGATGACATTTGCAACTGTAAAGGCGAGAAATTCCTCTTTCTCTTGCTTTAGTGTAGGTTTTCAGGTTGTATTAAGTTAAGAACACTGTTAGATTTGACTATATATTTTGCTTCATTTTTATCAGGGAGCAGGCCATGCTGCTCCATATTATAAGCCAGCGGAATGTAGATCCATGTTTGGAAGGTGGATATCCTATCAGCCTCTCTAGTCAATTGGGAGATGGGTATGAAAGTATTAGATCGTTTAAGAATTCAAAAATTTCGAGTGTTAAATGTTATTGCAAACGCCATCTGATTTCAGTTAATAAGCATTTACTTCAAGAGAATGCTTTCTTGATGAAAGATGAGTAAGATGTAGTCATTGAAGAATGTGTCTTTTCAAGAAATGGATGTATCGAATTTTTATTGGATAAAATTTGTTTTGACCATGGTCGATTGTGAATTTGCGAGTATACAGTAATATGTTTTAAAAGAACTCCAAAAACACAATACAAATAATAAATAAAATAAATCTACCACCTCTTTCTTTTCCACTAACCACCACCCACCGCTATCTCTCCCTTCCTCCACCGCCGTCAACCGTTCCTTCCTTCTTTCTCTTCCCTTTTCCTTTTCCTTCTTCTTGCTATTCCTTCCCCTCCACCATTTTCCTTTTCCTCGCATTCTATGCTTCATGCAATTCCTCTTTGCTTCCGCTACACCTATGGCTCGCTCAACCAAAGAGAGAGAGGGATGGGAGGTGTGTTGCGGGGGAATAGGAAGGGAGGAGAAAGGAGGAGGGAAAAGGAGATGAGAGAGGAGAGGGAAAAAAGATGGTGACGGTGGAGAAGGAGGAAAGGGGCAGTGGTAGGTAGTGGTGGTGAAAATTTAATAAATTTTTAAAAATATCCAAATAAAATTTTAAAAATATTTCAAAATATATCTTTAAAAACACCTAATTTAAATGGACTATCAACACAAAAATGTGATTAACATACACCATTATAGTAAATTTTTTTGCAAAATATTTTCAAAAATATCTAATCCATACGAATCCATTCAATTTATAGCCTGCATATGGGCAAATTTCTTGAAAATATTGTCTAAAAATTTAAAACTCCAAAAAATGTAGCTGAGAAAAAGTTTGTTTCTCTGTCCATGTCCGTCGTGTCTCTGACACACATCGGACTATTTTATTAGTTGGATTTTTTTTTGTTAAAAAAAGGAAACTCACGGTGTTTGAGGAACATATTGGTCTCTAATTACAAATTGGTCCCCGCCAATAAAAAGAGGCCGCTAACAAATTAATAAAACTCGCCGTGTTTGAGCCCGCTGGCAGGGACCAATTAATAAAAAGAGCCCGCTGACAAATTAATAAAAAGAAGCACGCAATGGGTGCCCGTTTGAATTTTTTCGTCTGCCGTACAAACACGGCAGCTTAATATATTCCTTTTTTTTTTATCCTTTTGACGACCAATTGGAACTAATGATTTAACAAATATAAAGTATCCAAAATTGTAATAAATATGAAATTTAAATTATGCAAGAATTTTGTTATTTGTATTTAGTATTTAATTTTAAATTATTTTTATTATGGAACTTTAATTATATTAATCTTAAATCATTTTAATTATGCCAAGCCAAACATTGGGATCAAAACTTCAATTCCCCTTAAGTAATTAGATGAGATGTACCGGTGCATTATGGTATCAAATCCCCTTATGAGATTCTTGGTGTCACTTTTCAGTGGCAACTCTGTGACATTTCTATATTTATGCAAAACGTCCTGTTTATTTAACTTGTTATATGCAATTTATTTAAATTTTTTCCACCCTCACGTGATAAGTGAGATTGACACTAGACGGGATAGTGGTACAGAGGATCCCAAAGCAGCAATACAGATCCTATGCGCACATTTACTCCTTGAAACTACATTATATAATGGTATTGGTGCTAATCCTGGACCCTGCAATCACCACGTGGCATCTAATTTAATTCGCCACTTTCAAAGTTGCCCTGTTTTCCCCTTCATTCCCAAGATCAATACCTCAAATCACCAGTTCATGAGGTTGTAATAATACTGGCGATCTCTAAGGAAGACATGATGAAACATTGTAAAGAACTGATTTAAACTAAGCAGACGTTGAGACTTTGATGCGTGAAAAAAAAGACACTTTCCTTAAAGTGTTATTGGCTTCTATACTAGACAAATTACCTTTAGGATACAACAAAGTCTAAGAACTATCAATAAAAGTAGTTCAATTCTGTCAAAGTTCTACAATTTTAAAGAATTGAAGCACCTATTCAAGACACCATTAAGGATGCAACTCTTAATGAAGAGTTGTATAGGTAGTTAATGATTTAACAGATGTATCTGTTAAATGTAATTGTCATTAACTACCTCTAATTAATTACCTAAAATAAATATTTCAGACAATCAATTAGCACCCCTCCCTAATCAGAAAGCCCCAAGTGCCCTTGTCAAGACGTTTTATATATCTTTCAATTTATATTCAAGTGAATGAAATATAAATTGAAATAACTTTTCCTCCAAACTAATATTTGAAACAAATTTGTTAAGGAAAGAAGACAAAGACATATTTAAACAATGAGCACTCTATCCTCTTTCAATGTGGAACAATGAACTTCAACTTTCTCATTACAAACTATTACCAACAATCCCCAACTTAGTTTGTAATGAAATTAAATCAGCACTGACATTATCTTGCATAGAGAAAGGTGTTTGTGAACTTAAACCCTTTTCTCAGTGCAAATATTTCACTTGTTCTAACAAGTCAAGGTGGCTATATAGCATAAACCATGACTTTAAAGTTAAAATAGAAATAGCACACACAAGATTATATCCCTTTTTGTAGAATAGTTCACGAAATGATTTAGCACTTTTACTGGCCCTGTGATCCATCTTAGATTCATGATCATTTACAAAAAAAAATCCCCACTTTTGGTAGGAGCGGCACCACTTCCATGATCATATAGGTGAAGCACTTTTCAAGCCTTTATTATGAAGGCACTATGAAAGTATATTTAACTTCATTAAGAGTATGATACTCATCCTCTTAAGTACAAAACTGCACTAGTACCTTGGAATAGTATAATACAATTTCTAGTGCTCACAATCACTTATTAATAATTTTTTTATTACCTTTTAACCTTTTTATCTAGTGTTAGTGCTAGAAGAAAGGTTGGTTTACCATTACTAGTGGTTCTAGACAAAGGGTTTTAATCCCATTCCCAATGACGTTGCTTTCACTACATCTCTTGAGAGAGGTTTAGTGAATGGATCTGCCAAGTTGTTGAATGAACTAACATATACCACTGTGACATTGTCATCATTCAATAGTTGTTTAACATATTCATGTCTTAGACTTATATGTCTAGATTTGACATTATATATTTTATTTAGCGCTCTAGATATAATAGCTTCACTATCACAATACAAAGAAATGACTGGCACCGATTTTGGCCACAACTTGATATCTAATGGTAGGTTTCTTAGCCATTCGGCCTCACAAATAGACTCACGAATTTAATGAATGCAAGGACATTTTTGAATCAGTTTTGGGCAGATTTCTGAATGCAAAGGGCCCTGTAGTGGTTCCTGGACTTAGTAGTCCTTAAACTCGTTGCCTATGAAGCAAAGCAGAGTTAAAGTTTAGGATGAAAAAGGATGATGGGCTGCCATAGGCCGAATGCTGCTCGTACAAGTGTGTGGACAACCAACAATGGACCAGAGTATGGGTTATATAGATTCAGATATTGGATCTACAACGAAATCACTCGGCTCGTAACTGCTTCTATAGTTTCCATTTTCACCAAATTTAAAGTGATAAATGGGGAAAAGAAAGAAATAGGTAAAATCAAAATTTAAGAAGACCTTTGGGGGACACCACCATTTTTTCGTCTTCTTCTTATTAGTGTTTTGAAGACCAAACTGGACCGGTTGGTCTGACTAGCTGAGGTCATGTTTTCGGTTCAGTTTAATAATTGATTTAGAAGTTTAATTGAATCAATCAAACCAGTAAAAATCAATAAAAGTTGGGTGGTTCAACCAAATTTACTGACTTTTTTTTGTTTAGAATAAATATTTTAGCTTTACTCACATTATTTAACATTAAAATAAATAAAAATTATTAAACCTTTGAATCGAAATTAAACTGGTCGAATTGAATGAACCACGAACTAAAAGCTCTTTCGATTCATTTCCCGATCTAGGTTTAAAACATTTTTGATAGCATTAGAACAATGTCGGAAAATACTTTCAATTTTTAATGGAAACTGAGGAAACTATTCAATTGTCTGAATAGTATACTGTCAATTACGACAAGGGTGCGTATCACTTGATTGTCTTAAATTAGTAGCCAACGGCACAATTTCATTGCCTCGCAAGCAGTCTAATCTGGGTTGTGGGAATAGTTAATCTAGTTTAAATCAACCCGCATGTGTTTTGTTAATTAGAATTGGGTCTTTCTAATTCCTAAAGTTGTGAATAGATTAAATCTTTCGAACATCTTTGGCGTTATCTAATTTACAAGATGGTAGTTTAAGAGCATATCTGGACTATCATATAATTAATGAGAGATTGGTAGTTTGGCGGTTGTTGAATTGTTTTAACCAATTTATTTGCAAACGTGTGAATTAGTTTAGGTATCTATGATCAACTGTGTGAACCGGTGCCAAGATTATCTCCTTGACTAGGTTGTGTCAATTACTCCCTCCGTCCCATTGATAGTGTCATACTTTCCTTTTTGGTCTGTCCCAAAATATTTGTCATGTTTGACATTTCAAACTATTTTAAGCTATGAATTTCCATTTCTACCCTCTATTAATGGTGTGATAATGCATGTGCTAGTTGGCCCACAAATTGATGTGTGGTCCCAAAGGACATCCAAATATTCCAACTTGTACCATATTTGACTTTCGGCTCCAGCAACAAAGTTCCGACTCCAGCCAAATTCATCATCAAGAATGTGCACATGGCCCTTTTAAACTTCAATTGAAAACTGGTTTTGTTATCAAGAGGATCATTTCGATTTTTTGCAGGAAATAGAATATCGAGATGATTTAATTAGTGATTTTCTTTTGAAAGCTTT